GCAAACTTTGCGTCTAGCCTTGCCTTCCAATCGATCTCTATCGGTTGGGGCAAAGCCTCGCGGCCTGCTGTTTCGGACAGCACTGGCGTTGCTGTACCAGGCAGGTGTTGCGGCGCTTCAGCTTCTTGCCCTGGGATCAACCCATCGAGTTGGTCTTGCAGTAGTGCATTGGTCTCTGATGCCTTTTGCAATTCCTGTTCAAGACGTTCTTTCTGCTCATTCCACTCGGTCTCCATACTTTGGTGTTGCCTACGTTCTTCTTCAAGGAGTGCTCTAGCTTTGTTAGATGCATCCTCTACCATTTTCTCGAACATAGATTCCAGCTCTCTCATCTTGTCGTTTATCTTCTGCATGTGAAGTTTCTCTGCTTCCGCCTTCTGCTCCGACATTCTCTTTTGATGTAGACTGTCTGCACTAGCGACCTTGGCCTGACTTTCAGCCAACTGTCCTTCTAGTAAGTTGATTCGGCCTTGCATGGCCAGAATCTGCTTATTGCAGACTTCCCTTGCTTGATCGATTGCAACCCTACATTGCGAGCCTAAGGCTTGAATCGTTGATTGCATGATCTCTCGGTGTCTTTGCTCTGCTTCGAAGCGAACGGCTTCCTCATTTCCTGAGGCAATCTGGTGAACATTGTTTTGAATGAACTGGAAATACGCTGTAACGCCTTCGGATCCCATGACAACGTCTTCGGGCACGAGGTTGCCCCCGGCAGCCTGTGTAGCATCGCCGGTGTATGGGATGAGGGCAAGCGCGGCATTCACACCATCGTCTGTAGCCATGGCAGAGGCTACGGCTGATAACCTGTATTTTCAGGCCCAACCACTAAAATACAGTCAAATTCCGCTAAGCTGCAACTGCTAGCGCTCCTTTTTGTCGCGATGAGCTGCGTGCTTGAGCCAAGAATTGGCTTGGTGCGTAAAAGCTTAGCTTTAGGTGATGTATTTCAACAGATGGGATAGGTTTCTACCGGAAGTGGCCGTAGGTTCCTTCGCCCCATGGAGGTGGACGCTTACTGGCATTGAAGCTGACGTCCTGCAGTAGTATCTGGTACGGTCAGGTGCAGCTTGTCAAGCGTTGCAACCCTTGGTGCTGGTGAAATGATTGGATGAAGGTTTTGTCTATCTTTGGTTCTACCTTAAGAACTACCGTAGTCCAGGCGTTTCATGATTTCAGGTTGCCTGTCGTCCCATTGGGTCCTGCACTCCGTGAAACCACCCAAGCTCGCCTGGTGGTGGCATACCTGCAAGAGAGAAGATTTGCACTTCAAATATGCCGCTGATTGTCTTCCGACGAAACAATTCTTTCCGAGTTGCTATACATAGACGGCACCATGCCCGGGGGGTCCAAGACCCGGTGGCGGCATTGTGTACATTGCTGGCACACCTACGTGCAAAGCAAAAAGAGAGCGTTTCAACTACGCAATGGCTAAAAAATATAACACTACGTAGTGTGGCTCTCAACCATGCCACAATGCTTGAAATTGTATTGCTGCTCATCGGCCAGATAAAAAGTATCCAAAAGTAATTTGTCAAAAGACATCTTCAAAGCCCCTTGAGCGACCGGCAACAGACCCTATCCTACAAGTTTGCTCCAGAAGGATGCACGAGCCCAAATCAACTGCCCCAGTTCAAAACCAAAATACTAGATCATCGAATGAACATAAACATTTAACACTTTTCAGGGTGTTGCTGTCCATGGACCTCCAAAAAGGGATGGCCCAATGGCAATGTCCAGCTAAACATCTATGGCCTGATCCTGAATATGATGTCAATAAAGGTTGGCCAGCAAAACCACATATCCAGTTCTCCAAAGCTTGATTTTCACGGTCAACATGAGTTCACGAGTAGCAATCCTTGTTCGCGTAAGAAATTCTATGACATGTCATTCAATCTCAACGAATATCATATATAAGCGACACAAGCTGCAACAACACGCGTGATTCTGCGGTGGGGTAGAACATAGTGTGTCGTACAAGACACTGAAACACACCGGTACGCATGGCTTTATCACAACACCATGCAAGTTACAAAAAACGCACTCAATCTTTTTGAATCATCAAAACAAGCGACATATGTATCTTGCCCACGCCACTACTAGAAGAAAAATGAAGAAAGTTGCACAAAAGTGAGCTTATCCAGCGAAACCAAGGCGGCTTTTGACAACCCCCCCTTGTCTCCCAAATCGACCAAGCAGTGCAAAACGAAGCCTGCAAACAGATTTGCATGCGCGTCTGGGTGCTTTGCGCCTTTTCAACGCTGAAAGGTTCTAATCTTTGTTGTGCTGTAAGCTGTGTGGGCGAAAATGGGCTTGAAGTTCTTGTGCAATTAGTTTGGCTTGGTGCGTTTCAGCGTTTCTTGTGGTTTGTTCTATGGTATTTCTGATTATTTCTGTTGTTTTGGTCCAGTTTCGTACTTCGTTGTTGTGATTAGGGTTTGGGTTTGTCTGCTTTCGCATTTCCTGTGACGTTGTCGGGCTTTAGTTTGAATGCGCTGTCTGCTGTGCGCTGTGTGGTGGTCGGGTCTTGCCGTCTGAGGGTGTGACTCGCGGGTCTGGGTTTGACGAAGCCGGGTTTGGACTTTCGGCTTGGACAGTTCATCAAGTGCCCTCAGCTTTCCTTTTCATCGGCTTCTTCGGCAGCTTTGTGTAACGACCGCCTGCACGGCGGCAGCTGCTTTCACGCGGGGAAGCACAAGATTAGCCGAAGCACGCAGCAATTCAATGCGACACATTTACCGAATAAACATGCACTGTGAAGTTTCGTCGATGCCTCCGAGTGCAAAGAAGAAGCACAACAGGAATGGGAGCCAACAAGTCGGTGACTCTCAAGAAATGTGCACCATGTCGTGGCGATGTAATATGATGCGCAGTCCTTCCCTGAGCAGCGCGCAAATGTGCACTTTTGCATCCTCGTGTTCTGCTCGCTGTCTTCTTCTGCTCTTGGTTCTTCTCTTCTTTGCAACGTCTCTACCGTCCAAACCTCAAGGATCTCGTCTGCACCTGTTGCTTACACTGATCATCTTTGCCAACGATAACAAAAGATGATGTTAGGATAGACCACTGTCCAATGATATATATCGATATATAACAAAAGCATGCAGCGGGGAGTTGGTCTTTGCGGGGCGCCATACGTTTCCAAAGAAAGACCTCTTTTTACCAGACTGTAAACTTGATTGCTCAAGGAAAGTTGTAAGTAAAACTTTCGTGGCAACGTCACATCTTGGGTTTAGCTTCACAACTTGAAAAACTTTTATGACAATTCTTGATAATGACGCTTCCCTGACAGAAGGCTGCAACCTAACTTCATCCTTACTAACTTCTCTAACTACACGTGGGCGTCTGCCTCAAAAGCTTGTGCTCTGACCCTCATCGGAACCAAGCATCCTTTGCATCCGAACAAATCGAGCTCTGCGTGATTTCACGCGATCGACCTCTAAACCTCCGGGATGGCACCAAAAAGGACTGCCTCTTGGAGTCTGCCAGTTGATCACAAACAGCGACTAAAACCACCCACACTCGGAGGGAGGCGGCTTCATGCTAAAGTACATTGACACAAATTGACATTGCCTCCTTGCCACAAGCAACAGCACTGAAGTCCATTCAATCGTTCCAATCAAAAGCTGTCAAGTCTGAGAACCTGAGATGGCTGTGGCAAAGTCTGAAAACAATCCTTGCCAATTCATGGCACGCCCAAAGGTCACGGTTGGCACAAATCGTGATGGCGCTGGAAGAGCGTCGCTTAAAAAGCCGAATGCGAAATGGCCGATCCTGGAACGGGGACCGTCGATCACCACCTTAAAAAGTGAATCGGTGCGAGCTCAAATGATTCAGAATGAATGGTGAGAGCGAGTGAGATTAGATTTCGTGTCCAAAAAGAGTTGAAATGAGCTTTGATGACGACAATCTTACCTTCGTCTTGTTTTCCCTCTTCTCAAAGTTAAGCAAACTTCATGCTCAGCGCTGGGCCGGTCATCTTCGAGCTGGCCTTTCATGTCACAAACTCTTGGGCGGTGCCGGAAAGGGCCTATGTTGGGCCTGCACGCTCGGCAGCCAAGCGGCGCCTCACTCGAAAAATGAACGTCGAGTGTCACCGAGACAAAATTCGCCTCCGTGCTGCAGCTGCAGAAGTTGGTGTGCTCGATCTGTCCGATCGGTCAGGGCTGCCTCAGAATGGTGGCGCATCCCCATTGGAACATATAGCGATGCCCATCTTCAATTTCGGACAAATTCTGTTTGTCCGTCTGATCTGTGATTTTCCCATCCCAAAGAATTGTATTGTGGGGCAGAAATGAATGTGGGGCGTGGTGTACAGGCTTTCCAATCGCTCTAGGAGCTTGGCGGGTCACGGGCTCAAGTAGCTCCTGCGGTCAGGGATCGGCCAACGCGTCGACTCAGACGTCCTAAACAAATGAGCAAAAAAGGCCCCTAGTAGCATCCTTGCTCCTAGTAACAAGTGCATCGCTTCTAGTAACAAGTGCCTTACTAGTAGTAACAAGAAGGTAGTAGAAACAATAAGCTAATGGCTTCTTGCTCCTAGTAGTACGGCCAGGAGCCCCGAACCTAGAAATGACACATGACTGTCCGAACTCCTCTCGCGCCAGCTCCTCAGTTCGGTTTTCTTCGCTTCCACCGCTCTAAACTCTTCCGCTTCAGACTTTTTTTGTGGCTGACTTTCAGCAAATGGTGCGCTACAAATACACCTGGAGCAGGTTAAAATATGTCAAGTCCCACAACGTGTTGGTTGTTCTTGTAGTGCGAGATGACATTTTGTTACATAGGCTAACAGGTTTCAACTATATATATAATGTACGGGAGTACGGTGAGATACTGTGAGCATATGGTTGAGTCGCAGGAAAGCCTGCCCTGTGAACCACACGCTTAGCGTGATGGTAGTAATTCACACTGCCCTCAGGGCACTCTGAAACTCCTTGAAGGTCCTGGCGCTACTTCCACATTTGACATCGCAGGATTTGCTTTAGCAAAACAGCCATGCCATCAAACAGGGAAGAAGTATTGCCAAGCCCCTCATCATGCACATTGAATTCGCAGCTGCCAAACATGCTTCAGGCAACCTCGGGAGCTTGTTGCCACAAAAGACAGTGGAATCGTCCTCTCTCTGTCCATCTTCAGGCTCAAACTGCTTATCGTGGATTGCTGACACTGCTGACCTGGGCCGACTTTGCATCGAATCTTTGACGTCTTTCTTTGTGAACTCTGTCGCACCTGGCCATTCCATTGCGGAAAGCTCTGCTTTAGAGCACGACCTGCCAAGCCGCACGGGAACACAAACACGCATCCAGTACACGTGGGAATGTTGAACAGGTCTGTGATTTCCGGACCTACAATAGTGAGCTTGATTGCCACCAGGACAATGCCAGCCTGAATTGAGGCGACGCAGCATGAAACAGAAAGAACAACTCCCAGTATGTCAAAATTCCTGCCATCTCCTGTCACAAAATTATCTCCTGTGAAACGGCCCCTGGGCTGTTACCAAACAGGTCGGCGAAAAGGGCCGAGTGACATAGAACGTCCCAACAGCTGTGAGTCTGCCGAGTGCCGTTGTTGGGAACTCATCACCTTGGCACAATGCGGTGCTTCAGTGCTTCGGTTTCCGTGTCAAACTTTGTCTCTTTCGTGCCCGAGCCACCATAGCCCACAGTTGTTGCCTGAGTCGCTTCAAGTTTCGTCACGTTTCGGTGCTCTCAACGGCAGGTCAAACCAGGTCGAAAAGAAACAAACGCTTTCTTATCACTTTCTTTCTGTTCGGTGCGACAATGATTCTGCCAGAGCGCTGTGACAAAAAACCACCAAAAGCAATGGCTGATGGATGTGAAGGGCGTTGGTTCCTCTCCTGATCTCGCCATTTAGGCTGTCGGAAATTGTGCTCGGAGGAACGGAAAAGCAAAAGACTGTCACCAAGCTTCCATAGCCATGCTTCCTTATTGCGTTCAGAACTGAAGCTGGTGCAGGTGATTGCAGGTGTATAATTTGTCGTTCAGTGTGGCGCAGAATGTGGCTGAGCCTCGTTGGCCTGACGTACACGCCCCGAGGGTACAGCTGAGGCTGGTAGGTCACGGAATAGTCCCTCAGTTTCACTCGCATCGGAGTTCTTCGAAATGCGGAGATCGAAGTAGTTGCCGGACATTTTGATCTTCACATGTCCGCCAAGTGGCGTTCCTTCCGCAATCCAAAGGCACGAGGAGAAAAGGATGCACACGATGCTGGTCAAAGAGAAGACTGAGAGAATTCCAGGCAACGACTCCCTCAGAACCATAGCCATGGGCCATGTCAATGCATCAATTGGTATCATTGGAAAAATGCACTAAGGAGTTAGAACAAGAAAGAACTGAAGGTCAAACTGTACTACAAATTAAAATAACTCTAACACTTTAAAGATCTTTAAAGTAAATAAAAGAACAAGTCGGCATACAACATCCAAGGTCAGGACCCCACGATGCTGATGATCATATCCACTCCTTGTGTCGCCGCTATCCCCGTGAGCCAAAAGGGGGGCCGATGCGCTGAGGACCTGGCCATCTCGCAACTTTGGCGATTTCAGCAAACGAAACCTCAGCAAAGCGAGCGAATAAGTGCATCACACCAGTTTGCGTTGTTCATTTCGAACAAACTTGTGAAATAGCGGATTGGCACTGGAAAAAGTGCGGCACACTCTGACCAATCGCAGCACTCGTAGAGCGCCTGTGCTCCCTTGATACAAACCACCTCAGCTGCAAAGCATGCAGCCACATAGCTAAGCTATGCGTATAACATGTCTTCCATCGATTGTTCTAGGATACCTTTTGAAGCCATTCTGCAGCCTCTTGCCAAGTCTCTCAGGGACACGTAGTAGGGCGCAATGGCGAGAAAATCAACCAAGTTCAGCCACTGCATGGCCTTTTTCTGCAATTGTTTGGCGGGTGCAATATCTGCCAAATTCACACAGCGGTCATCTGTGCCCAGCTGCATACTTCAGGGTCAGAGTCACTGGGCCGACCTTCGATCTTTTGCGAACGGCACAAGCAAATCTCACGAACCTGATCGAACAAAAACTGAACTGTTTAGAATCAAGTTGCCTTCGCTGGTAAGCCTATATCTCGGTAGGACACCGTGTGCACCTCAAAGGGCAAAAAATTACGACGTTCGTCCAGTGGGCTGAAACAGGTTACTTTGAAGCTTTCCTGTAAGACAGGACACTAGAAGAATTCGAAGAACCTCAGATTCGAACGAATACAGCGCGCGGGACACGGTAGGAATGGAATGCACTTGTTAAAGCAACACATTGACGCAATACTCGGGAATATTCGAAGCCTTTGAATGGACTGTTTGAGGCATTTGTTGTCAAGCTTCTGCTGTACATGCCTTTCAAACATTGTAGCTATGAGTAGGCTGGGAACGTCCACGTGTCTCCATTGCAAAATAATGTTTTTCCTTTATTCTCCCTCTCTCTCTCTCCCTCTCTCCGGTGGACATGACTCATCACTGAGTCGTCTCACAAGAATGCCCCGGGTAAACTTTCCCATCGGGCTGTAATCGGATCAAACAGCTACTAGTACATCAGGTACATCATGCTCTCCCAGGCACTGGCCATACAGTGCAAGTTCTAGTGACTTTTGCAACCCTTTCCTCCTAGAATCCCAAGTGTACGTGTTTGATTTTCACACCTGGAAGCCTTTTGCCACATGATAGTTCAATCTGTGACCGACCCCAACAGTGCCTTGTGAAAAAAGATGAAACATGTAGGACACATAAACTTTTGTTAGCCTGAACTGTCTGAATACATTCAAGCAACATACTCAATGGTGAAAATTCCAATACAAACGGCCTCTATGTAGTCAAAGGCATCACCTGCTCGAATTGTAGAACTTGCAAAGCACAGCCAATGAACAACTCCAAACATCTTTCGCGTCTTCCTCTCTCTCGACATCCTCCCTCTCGCTCGCTTTGTCTCGCGTCACTTCATCTCACCTGGTCTAGGACGACAACTTTCCAGAGTAATCCTTGAAGCGGCAAATGCAGAGTCCAGGCAGAGTGCTTTCAAGGTGGAACAGTTTTCAGTCTTTTTGCAGCGTCACATCTCTTCGAAAAAGCCGAAATGGCCCGTAACACCGTTGGTCAGTCAGGCTTCTCTGGCCATGGCTTGCAGGCAGCGGGGGTCGGGTTAAAGTCAGGCAAGGATTCAAGAAGCATGGAGACCTCGGTTCCACCCACTGAATGTTTGACAGCTTTCAAGGTAGCTTATAGAAAGAACATTTGCAAAGCTTTCCGGCTCCAAATGCAGTGCTCAGTCACTGTGGTCACAAGAATAACGAACGTGACAAACCAGGACACCTTAGCTTCAAAGCTTCCGTGAGACATTGGGAACGAAAAAACACCAAAGACTGGCTGACTAGCGCAGAAGCATGGCGCAGCTTGAGTCCGATTGCTTCAGTTGACTTCATGCAGCTATGGGAACCGTTTTTGCAGCTCGGCATGAGCTTGGATCACTGAGCAACATGAATATCCTCGGCTGGGCAACTTAGACGTCCCTACTCCGTCGATGACGTCATTCCTGCAGTCTTTCGCTTATTCTGAAATTTTAGGTATTACTAGGTGCTAGCAGAGGTACACTAGTCACTACGGGTTACCGTAGTGCTCCGAAATCCTTCTCAGAATGGTTGTTGTGTCCCTCGTTGACTTCTTGGGACAGCCCTCACTAGACAGTGAAGCGAGGACACGTGGTCGACCCAATCACCGTCCAATTGTGGCAGGGCGAGCAAATCAGAACCATGTCAAAAAGTCACACATGCTACCAAAAGGAATGCCCAATCAAATTAACAGTTGTCCATACACATTCTGTTCAATGTGATTGCATGGCTCATTGACCTTCGGACAATGACGCTCCTTTGCATTTTGATGCGTTTTGTGAGTTGGCATGAAGGCATGAATTGTTAGCTTCGTTGCAGTTTGAGACAAACCGCAGGGCCTTGCTCGACTTCTGTGCGCATGGTTGGGATGGACATGTGTTGGGGACCATTTCAACTTCGTTGAGGCTTCACGTAGTTTGGGAGGCTTGCCAAACCTCGTGCCCAAGCCCGGAAGCGCCAGTGTAAGGCAGGACACGGCCAGCCCACCAATGGTTGATATGGTGTCTACACGGGAGGCGTTTGGATTCGCTGCGAAGCTTCGGTTGTGGACGGGTAGCAGAGTTGTCATTGGCCATACCGTTTCAGTTGGCAAGCGCTCGGGATGCTCAAACACTGCTCAGAAAGCCGAGCTTCATCGCAGCCCATGACTCTGTCTCTGGCAACCAGCTTGTGCCCTCAGATTGCCAAACATTCAGAGCTACACCTTTCCACCATTCATGCTTTGACTGAATCTGTCGAGGGGACCAGGGGCTTGAAAATGCGGCAAGGCGCATTCCGTTGGCTCCTTAGTTGACGCGTGTGTGTGTGTCGCTGAACATCGCTGAACTATGTTAGAAGCCTGTGCAGCTGCGTTTGGAATGGAGTATAACATCCCAGTTGCACCAAATGAACAGCTTAACGTCGTTGAGAATGATTTTGCTGACGCAAACCGATAAGGCCAAAGATTTCTGAATGTGTGAACATGTAACATGCATGCAGTGCATCAGAAACGCAACGCGAAACTCGCAACCATCCGAGAAGGGTGGGCTCTGAGCTTTGAAAACACCTACGGTGCGGCCGCGTCCCGCAGCTTTCGGTTGCGCTTGCGTTGCGTGTCTTGCGGCTGCATGCACTACGCTTTGACGAGCCAGAGGTCCTGCGTAAGACCCGGGTCACGAGCGGTTGGAGAAGCTCTTCTGTGGTTTTGGTTGCTTGCATTTGCCCTTTTCTTCATCAACGGCATTGAGGCCATCAAGCGCACCACTCCTGCCGAGCACCCCCATGCCGACTGGTGGTCGACAACAGCAAGGAAAACAGGCCCAGGCAGCATCAACCTCAAGTCCGAAGGAGGGCACTGCCTATGTGAACCTACGGGATAGCTATGTGCCGTTGTTCGGTGGCCAACCTGCTGACCACAAAGAATGGCAACAACGGATTCATCTGTATCATCGAAAAATGACCATCGCCAAGAGGGGCAATGAGAGTGTGTTGACGCGGGGTCGTTCACTAGCGAATGGCCCATTGAAGAGTTGGACAAAAGCAGGCGAATGATCGAGACCCTGGACTCCAATTTCGCCTACCCTACAAGTGCAGCTCCCTCGAACTACCTCAACCTCCACCAAAAGCCTGCCGGCCAGACGTCATCCATGAGTTGTCCAAGCCATGGGTGGCCTTCATCGCTGGCCAGACAGAGATCCACGCCCTCTTGATGGCACGGACGCGCTGCTCGGACTACTGCTCCTGGTAGCTGTGTCGACCAATGCTTATGATGGGGGAACTTTGTGCTCCCTCGCCGGAATCGGCGTCCACCACAGCATTGAACTGGCGCGGCCTGTGCAGGGCGCTTGTACTTGGCGCAAGCTGTGCAAAGGTAGCTGGTGGTATTGATCAGAGCGCCGGACGCCACGTGCAGCAAGTAGTTCGGCCAAGGCTTCAGGGCCAGGATGACCCAAGTTGCGGTGTAGTCGCTGCACAGTCCTGATGGCCTCCTGCTTGCCAAGTGCCATGGTTCCCAGAGAACTCGCGTGCGTTCAGTCACGTCGAGGGAGCTCTGACAGGTCCTTCAGGTGCGTTCGACGATGCGCGTCCATATAGTCATAGTCTTCAGCTCCTGCTTCAAAGTGCGAACGCCTTGTTTTGACTCCCTTGTCACAAGCTCTTCGCGAGCGGTGAGGCCATGCTCCGCTGCAAGGTGAAAGCCGTCAGTGTGGGCCACGTCAGGGTCAGCTGTGCGCAGTTCGAAGTCGGGCTTGTTGACGTCATAGGCCATGTTGTCATGCTCAGCTTTCAGGGACCACAGACATTTTCCTTGACGTCCGAGAGCGGCGTCAGTCCAGGCAGAAGAGCCGAGGCGCAAACGCTTCTGAGCAAAGTCCATCGTGATGCCAAATGCTTCAATGATGGGTCGTCCACAAAGCATGGGGGCGCCGCCTGGCAGCAAGAACAGCTTGCATTGAAGTGTTGGTCCGGTTTCAATTGCGCCATGCCTTGGCCTCATCCACTTTCTTGACTCTGATGCCGTAGTGTTGTCGACTGTCGTCTACCTCGAAGCGTGGAGAAACCAACCTTGATTCTTACAATTTTCTGTTTTGTTGGTAACACATCGCAAACGGTGTGCTCTGACCCACTCCTTACACTCTACCTGAGGATATTTGGGCTCGCCTTCTAGAAAGGGCTCACCATATTTGGATGAGCAGACTATCCGAAGCATGGGAGAGGCAACGCAAGAGCTTGTCCTTGATGTCGTCAGGTGTGGCAGCCGCGGAGCCTTTGTCTTTCTTGTGCTTGTGGTTACTTGAGCTCGTCCATGCATGGTCGCCGCCCTCATCTCAATGTACTGCGCCTTTGCGGTGTCCGACAGGATTCTGAGGTTGCCGCATTCTTGAAGGCGCTCCATGGGTTCTTATCAGCAAGGATCTTGGTGATGGTTGGAGTGCGAAGAATGATGGTTTGAGCCCTGGCAATCTTTGCGGCGTCAGGAACGCCCTTGCCATGGATCAATGTAGGCAGCTGAGTTTGCCATGGATCACTTGGGGCTGGTGGCTGTCGGATTTCCCAGCTTGAGCCTTTGCATGAAGATGCATGAAGTGTGGCGGAAGGTCGCGTGCGTTCACGGTCTTGCTTAGCGGGATCTTCGGATGTTGTTGGGCGGCCACGCTTTCTGTCCTTGGTTCGCGTCGCTTCAGGCCTCCGTTCGGGAGTTGCAACCCGCGTCTGCTTTCGGTCTTCCCCCTCTTGGGGGCTTGCTGTCGCATGGTCGGCGACTCTTTGTCCACTTTGGGGTGGATCTCGGAATCATCCCTTTGCGGGAAGCTGTTCTTGGACCGGGCGCGGCGCTTACTTCGTGTATCTTGGCGCCACTGTCGCTGGCTGGGTTTCTTGCAGCGTCGGCGACGCGATAGTGTGTTGCTTGCGGGCGTTCCTTTTGACCACGAAAGGTACAAGACGACGGCCAAGGCTTTCGCTGCTGGAAACGGCGATGTGCGCGCCGTTTTGACGGGAGCGGCCTGTTCGGCGGCTGCTTTCTTTCTACACTAAGGCTTCTGGCGGCGACGTTCGCCCTGGCTGTCGCTAGACTGAGGTTTCCAACTGGGAGCACCTGTGCTGGCGCTGTCCTTCGCGTACTCCGGATGAGTTGCTGCAGCTGTGGCTTGGATGGTATGCTGGGCGCGTTGATGATGCTGCTGTGTTGGAACACATGGCGACGGTGCGACGACAGCTTCTTGTTCTGAGCCCCTTCGGCTCCTCGAGCGGACGCTGATGCCGGCGCGAGGTGTTGAGCTGCTGTAAAGTACGTTTGGAGTGCCGCTGTCTTCGGGCACGTGCATTCACCGAAATTAATTTGAATGTCTGGACAATGTGCCAAGTGAGAGTAGAGGACACAGATTCCCGACTGGTGGTGGAAGTCCGTTTGGGTCCTTGTAGCAGCAGGGTGTGGGAGTACAAGTTGGAGCCAAATCTGTGAACAACAACGGCACTCCAGTGATTGTCTTCACAAATCATGCCAAAGCGGCAATTGCCTTGTTCATCTCCATGTGTCAGCCACATCTACAATCCAGCGTGCTGTCCAAAAGAGGTGTTGTTGTATTCGCTGCTGGTCCAAAAAAGTCAAGCATCAGGGCTTCGACTTGCATACAATCATTCCGATGGATTGCCTGCCCGGCCTGCCCCATGTCGCGCCAAAAGGCCAGCACCAAGCCGCAGAGGAAAACGTGGGAAAGTAGAAGCGCCCAAGAGGAAGTGTGTTCGAGGGAACCAAATGCGCGCATCAAGTGGAACCTCAATGACGTCCGTGTCCAGAGAAAGGTGAAGAGCATGCCCCTCGCAGTCCAACTTCAGCACGGGATGGCCAAGCTGGACTTGGTTTCGGTATGTTTCGGTTGCGTTTGGCAACATGTACTTGAACTTCCGCGAGGTTGATGATCTGTGCGTTTTGCGCTGCGTTGGTGCGCCCGATGTAGCTGATGCGATCAGCTTGGAGCACATGCTGGAATGTGCTAGCTGTGACGGTCAGTAGGTAGCTGCATCCCTGGCGGCAGTGCGAAGAGCTCATCAGCATGAAGGTATCTGGGCCTAGGGTCATCTGGAGACTGCGCGAAGCATACCTTTCTGGCGGCAGCCACCCCTGCGTGGGGGACCCGTATGAATGGAGGATGGTGCAACATTTGTCATCCAATGAAAGCCGTCGTTTATCCCCACCAAAGGCTGGGCCCAAGTAACAATCCAATTCAAATTGGGTCAACTAGAGGTCTTCGATTCACGAATGAGTGGCTGGCAAAAGGATGTGCATGATGTCATGGATTTTCTGTCTACTCTCATCTATTCCCCAACCTGGGATGGGGTCAGGCAGGTAGCATGGATCTGACAACGCACAAAACCAGCACTTTTGATTCATTGGCCATTGGTGACCATGCTCCAAAAAAACATGGCGTTGAGCCCAACCGAATCTTTCCAGAGGATTGTCTGATGCCAGAGGTGCGCACTCCAACATCAAAAGACGGGGTTTCAGGACCTGAACTGCTTGGATCAAACCTTCGAAGGCGCCGAGCCAATGATCGTCGGCACCAAGCATCAAGCCTTGTCTCGAAAAAGACTGGCCTGGCATGGAAAGCAGCCACGAAAAAGCCCTCTGCCCCGGACTGGATCAGTGCATCATGCAACAAAAATCAACAAAGCAACCACTTTACAGTCCGAGATGCCACCGCGAATGACAAGACCGCGTCTGTTCATCGTGTGGTTGCCACAGGCCAAGGGACAAGTGCCCAGCGATGCGATGACTTTGACCTGACCCCCACGGTACCCAAGGTGCAGCCAACGGCACCAGATTCAGCAAAAATGTCCAGCATGAATGGCATGATGGGACGGACCATAAGGGGAGAAAGTGGGAAAGCAGGGCACCATATCGAAATCCAAACCAGGAGGATCAGCAAAGGCACAAGTCACGCCATAGCAAATGAAGTGGCTCCCACCTTAGGGCCACCAAGGGGCCGCCCAGAAAGCCCCTGAGGATCATCAGAGGTCTCAAGGGCGCGCCGCTTCTGCCCACGAACCCACGACATGGCAACAGGCTCAATCTGCGGGTCTCAGCCAAGCCCACTGGAAGGTTTGAGCCGATGGCTCGCCACGACATTATTTACATGTGGCGCCAAGACGGCAGCCGTTTTCTTGGCCAATACCGGCCCGTGTGAAAATGCATGCAATGCATCAGAAACGCAACGCGAAACTCGCGACCATCCGAGAAGGGTGGGCTCTGAGCTTTGAAAACACCTACGGTGCGGCCGCGTCCCGCGGCTTTCGCTTGCGCTCGTGTTGCGCGTCTTGCGGTGGTTGACCTCGTTTGCTACCACGTATTCTTCCACAAGAAATGTATATATAATATATATATATATGTATATGTGTGTTTCAACTGTCGAAGGGTACAAACTTACAGCACAAGAAAGGTTCAGCGCCAAGCCACACGTGTACTGTGGTAGAAGCCCGACGTTTCACCGAGAGTACCAGGGAATGAATAGAATCTTTCCTCGGCTTCCGTTTTCCAGCTTTGAACGTTGAGCCGCAAGTTCTTGTTTTTTGGAATTTCAGTGTTCAAAGCACGAGGTGTACCTCTTATCTGCAAGGCCACTGGTGATTCTGCGCATACGCGTGCTCGAAATTGGAGCCTGCAATGCGCCGCAAAATCGCCCAAGTTGCACAGCCACGCTTCACAGAGCTGCGCCGAGAAGCTTAAAACACCAATAGGAAGTGCCAGAAGGATTACCTCACATTTCACGACGTTTCAAGACGCTTCATGTGTCTCCTACAGTGTCCATCTTCATGTTTCTTCGTCTGTCTTGGATGACCCTACGCAACACACACACACTTAGGATAGGGTGTACTGAACTGAAAGCGGTGCCACACGCCGGCCTAGGGTTCCAATTCCTAAGGGAACAAGTACGAACCGCGGGAACCTGGAGGACTTTAAGAGGAAAGAAGGCCCAAAGCGGAAGAAACCCATCGACGATCGCGGATCGAGCAGGCTGACGACGTTCGTTCATGTCTGCCGAGTGCATTAACCCTTTACCAAAGGTTTAAAAATTGTGCAGGTACAAGTGGTTGATCAGACCACTCATCCGCCGAAATGCCATAGCTTCGTTGGACTGGATAGGCAAATCGGCTCCAGTCCCCCTGCTACACAAGGAAAACAACTGTGAAGCGAAAACAATCCGAAAGGATCGCTATCATTCCAAGGGTTACACACACACGCCTCCCCGAGGGGAGGCAAGATTTTTAAGCTCCGCGCCATAGGTGGTGTGAGACTCTTCGTCCCCAAGTAGTGGTAAGGCCAGGAACCTCTAGTAGCGTCAAAGAAACACCTAACGCCTAGTAGGAAGGCCAGGAGCCCCTAGTAGCATCCCAAGCTAAGGTGCCGACAAGAGGGAGGGGTAGGGAGAGACGAGAAAAAGGAGAGAAGAGAAAGGAAGGTGTTCCCAGCTACGACGCAAGCGTCCAAGGACACACCAAAGGAAGAGAGGAGAAGGTTCCCAGCTATGACAAAAGAATCCAGGGACACCCAAGGAGGGAGGAAGGAGAGAGAGAAGGAAAGAAAGAAAGAGAGAGGGAGAGAAAGGGAGAGGAGAGAAAAAGAAAAAGGCAGGTGTTCCCAGCTACGAACAAGCGTCCAGGGACACACCAAAGAAAGAGAGGGGTGATCCTGAGTGTTGCATTCAGGAAAACCCCAGGAAGCAAAGAAAGAAAGGGGAAGGGAAGGGGGAGAAGGGGGCTAAGGTCGCGACAGGTTCCAATGAACCTTGAACAAACTTCGGTCGCTGCGACCACGTACGGCTTGCCCAGGGGCTGCCATCTTTGACCGCTACGGTCACGTAAAGGCATGAGCCAGCTTAGAATTCCAAAGATGGGACAAAATCATCGTACGTACGGCCTAGGCCACCTACGCTCGCTGCGAGCTGCTCTGTATCCGGGCAGTGGATACGTTCGACGTACACCCGTTCCACGGGTCCACGGGAGGCACTCTGCGGGCTCATCCCGGGTTGGCACGAGGCCAAACACACTTAGGATAGGGTGTACTGAACTGAAAGCGGTGCCACACGCCGGCCTAGGGTTCCAATTCCTAAGGGAACAAGTACGAACCACGGGAACCTGGAGGACTTTAAGAGGAAAGAAGGCCCAAAGCGGAAGAAACCCATCGACGATCGCGGATCGAGCAGGCTGACGACGTTCGTTCATGTCTGCCGAGTGCATTAGCCCTTTACCAAAGGTTTAAAAATTGTGCAGGTACAAGTGGTTGATCAGACCACTCATCCGCCGAAATGCCATAGCTTCGTTGGACTGGATAGGCAAATCGGCTCCAGTCCCCCTGCTACACAAGGAAAACAACTGTGAAGCGAAAACAATCCGAAAGGATCCCTATGATTCCAAGGGCTACACACACACACACACTTACGATATGGTGTACGGAACTGAATGCGGTGCCACACGCCGGCCTAGGGTTCCAATTCCTAAGGGTACGTGTACGAACCACTGGATCCTGGAGGTCTTCAAGAGGAAGTATAGGGCCCAAAAGGAAAGGAGTGATCGACGAACCGACAAGATGACGACGTGTCGCGCATGTCTGCAGAAGGTCAAACTCAATTCAGCAAATTTTAAAAATTAAGCAGGTACACAATGCGGCGTCCCGCATTGCTTCACGACCGATCTATCACTGTCTTCGTTGGGCAGTGAGTGATAGTGGTCCACTGCCCCCTGCAATAAAACAAATGCAAAAGCATCCCTATGACTCCAAGGGTGACACACACACGCCTCCCCGAAGGGAGGCAAGATTTTAAGCTCCATGCCGAAGGTAAGGTGAGACTAAGAGAACTGACGGATCTAACGGTAGGTCTGGTAGGCAGTCAATGGGAGTCGAAGTTGACCAATGGCATCATCATGAAGACGGGGAGCGACTGTGTGGAGAGGTCGGTAAGGAAAGGGAACGGAGTCACGGGGATATTCAGCAGAGAGGCCCTGTGGACGTACCCGTCGAGAATTGATGAAGTAGAGGACGAGATCTTCAAGGGTGCAGGTGTGTGGGACTTCCCATACTCTTGAATCGCCAGTCGAAGGAAGGGCCATCCAGAAGGCAGTGCGATGTTGGCCTAAGCGGGAGTAGATCACATCTTTGAGATCGTCAACAGTGTATTCCTTGGTGTCGATCTGTCGCCAGTCTAAGGTCACAGTGATGTAGTTCAGGGGTTGGTAGACGAGTAAGCTGACATCCAATTCAAAGCGGACCGTAGAGAGGTCCGGCACCATATACAGTGTTTCAAAGGGTTGACGAACTTCGCTCCATGACGTGCGAGATGTGGGAATCGTGTGCGTCAAAGGTTCAGGTACACGAAGCCCCGGGGATGAAATCATGATGGAGAAAGGAGCGAAGGTGAGTCGGAGCCAATGGCTGCAGAAAAGAACGGCAAAAAGTGTGGAGCAAAAGCATCAATCCCGAGTAAAAACCCGAATAAACGTCCAAGCGAGAAGGAGGTGAGGATCTTTTCACGGCAATGCGAAGAGGGTCCAAGGTAGAGGGAAACGATGTAGAGCTCAGGCTGTTGTCAATCATGAGGACGATCCAAAGGAAATGGAGGCTCTAAAGTGTTTTGAGATTCAGTCGATGTGGAGTTCAGTGACATAGATGCTGAATCGGGTACAGGAAGCGGAAGTCCAGTGCCATCGCGGATGGGATCAGTGGAAGGAAAGTGGTCCGGAGGAGCCGAAGAGGACGCGGTTGAATGGCCGGGTGGATCATCTGGTCGGTAGGATTGATGAAGCTCTTCGCGGTAAGTAGTGACGGTGTGGACGACCCCAGTGATGAGCTGTTCTTGTTGTGGGGCGGGTAGGCCCTGGAGCATTGGAACCTTAGAAACGTCAAGATGCTTGAAATTGTGCAGGAGAGCTTCCACCAGGTACTGAACGTTGAGGTGCTCCAAGTTGTCCACAGCCTGTCTCTTTATGCCTCTGCGAGGAACAGGGTTGTCATCAAGTTGTTGGGTGGCAGAGAAACGTGCTTCTTCAGCGGCAATGCGTTCCTCTTCAATACGAAGAGCGGTTTCATATCGCTCGCATTGGGTCCAAATGTCAAAACTCTGAGTGGCAGAAAGCACTAATTGCCAGCCCCGGGTGCCCCAAATGCGTGAGAAAGTATATGGCCAATGAGAAGCTGGGTGATCATCGATGAAATACCCAGTTGCAGATTTGTAGTATTCAATGTCATCGTGATCCCAAGGCAGAGTTTGGTGATGGAACCAAGCGCGATAGAACCAGTAGCGTTGATTGTGGGATCGTCGACAGGTCCATTCCTCGTATGGTTCAGCCACGGGCCAATCGCCGTGAATTGAATTGTGGACTTGACGAGCGTAGTCGGTGAAGTCCTCGTTGTACTGATTCTCAGAGCGGGGGATGCTCGACAAGAGAGCAGGGTCCAATTGCTCTTGATGAGGGAGTATGTCATCGGGAGGAGCGTGCGTCGGAGAGGATTCTTCTGAAGGGACACGAACATCTTCTGGTTGAAGTTCCATAGTGCCGAACGAGTCAGGTAAGGAGCGTACCGAAATAGAACCGAAAGGCTGCGGGAGAGGTGAAAAGTGAAGTAAAACATGAACTGGGAGAAGATTGTCAGTAAAAGTGAGTAGCAATGTGATTCAGTAATCCAAGTGGGTCCACCGTTATTTTCCAGGAAGCAATGGGTCGAAGTAGTGAATTGAAGTGAATTAAGGTGTAGCCTCAGGCAAACGAAAAGGACGGTTTGGCCGGGGAATCAGAAAAGGTATCTCCTCACCGTTGAGCTTGACAAGTAGTCCTACCAAAGGTCGGTCGGCATTCAAAGTAGCATGACTCCCACGAGAGTGAGTCGCTGAAGGTGTACTCGAACTCGAGGGATGTAGAGAGGTAGATGTAGTCCTCAGTGAGGTAGGAGGTGTTGTCGGACGAGCTTTCTTGGGAAAGTTGGTAGAGATGAGGATAGGTTCGTCTGAGTCCCGGAGGTGGGAGGCCATAGATGGTCGAGAGCGTTTGATAGCTGTCGTAGATGTTGTGGACATCTGAAGCTTGAAAATCGCAGTTGAAAGCAGTGAGACAAAACTTGGGCCAAGAGGCTACGTCGAGACGGAAAAGTCAAAGAAAAGGAGAAAGGGCAAAAGGAAAGGAAAGGAATAGGATAAAGGATAAATCGGCAAAGCTCAAGAGGACGCAGCAGCGGTCATTTTCCATTCGACGAAAAGGTGGGGCAAAAGTCCAAGGTGAAGATTATGATGTAGCCCGCCGTTGTAGTTCGAGAAGTTCAGCCCAACGAGCGCGGATCTGGGACTCTGGGCGCTCCATTTTGGTAGTGATGTAGCGCCAACTGGGTCGAAGTCTTTCGTTGCATTTGAGGCTGAGAAGAAGGTCATCGTCTTTGGTGCTCCAATCGTCATCCCAAGGGAGGGCGGCGTTTGCGAGGTTGTCAATGTCGGCGATGGAGTCTTCTGACGAGGCAACGAGAGTCCCGGCTGTTCACAAGGCCCCCAGTTGATCGAAGGTATCGTGGTCGTACGAAATGGCTGTGATGCCGGGCTAGCATGTGGTCTGGAAGGGCAAGAGCCAGGAGAGGTAGAATCCGGATTCTGAATCATCTCCACCAGTAAGCGGAGTGCAACGATGACGATGTTGAGTTGCGTCGCAATTGTAGAGACAAGGTCGGAGGTGGTAGATTGCGACATAGCCCAGGTAAAAATCCAGTTGAGGGTGTGT